ACTCCAGGAACTAAACCTGCCCCCGCCTTCCCACCGTCCCCCAGACTCCACCTCACCTGAAGGAGGCAGTAGCTCTTTGCTCAGGCCTGTCACAATGTGCACATTGGAAGTACCTCAAATGAAAAAGAAAAAAAATGCCGCCCTCCCCAGAAAGAGAAATTTGCACAGCCGGCACCAGCAATTACTAAATTTAACACCTGCCCCTCAAACTGCAAAAGTAATCTGCATTCTCTGCTAGCCACGTGTTTTCCACTCTGCAGGACCTAAGGGGTCTTCCAGCAGAGAGCGGCGTTTCCCCTGGCCGTGGTAGGCTCTGACCCCCACGGGAGTCACAGCTTTCACCGGGAATACGTGTGGGGCACAATCCTTTCCACCATTTTCCTTCCCATCAAGAAAAATCCTAAAAGATGACATGCACCGTCAAGCATCCAAAACGCCCATTGCCACCACTAATTTAGATCAGCACTTCGTTTCTCAGGAGCAGAGAACACCTCTGTCTCCCACCGGGAGGGTCAGATGGACTTTCTAGTGGAAGAAAATGAGATAGGGAGCCCTTACACTGCTTTCATTTTCAGAAACAGCCAGGCAGAGCATTATTTCCCTTCAAGTCGCTTGGGAGCACTTCAGCACTAGCAGCAGCAAACTCTCAAAGGGAGACACTCTCGCGTGCCTGTCTCGATACAGGCACGAGGGATGGAAAGGATGAGCCTGACATCAGCTGGTTACTTTCTCCAGGGAAGTCTTGAATTAGGACTTTGATGCCAGATGGTTGTATAAATGGATTCGTATTTCTCTAGTTTGAAAGGATTTAATGTTTTTCAAGGTACCTTGAGCTGCTACTGGCCGGTTCAAAATGACACTGAAAAAAGTGCACTGTCAAAAATACCCTTTGCTCTTTCTGCTTTATGCCTCAGAGAATCAAGAAGAAAAACAAGGGCATTACAAAAATAATGCACTCAACACGTGCAATAAATTATGTTCTCAGGCATCTGCAGAAGCTCAAGATTTGAATGAAAGTTTAGCTCTGAGTCAGATCACACCTCTTAGCTCAGCACTGACCTGCAAGGTTGTGAACCGCCTTGAGGAGGGAGAAAAAACAGCAGTAGTCTAGACAAAAATCAGTTGCATAAAATCTAACAACACCTGCCTGGTTTTTCAGCCTCTCTCACGAGTTAGGGCCGAGTATCGGTGTGAGGAAAGTCAAGAGAGGTTCACACTCACTAGTAGGGAAGTATGGCTGGGACATGCTGTGCCGTCAGATGTTTTGTGACTGAGAATCTGACCCATCCACTAAAGCCTGGGAAGAGGGATGAGACCGTGCACAGGAACACAAAAAAGCCCCTTAACATCTGCATCGTGACCAGATTGCAGCAATTCTCCCAAGCAAGGATCCGGGGCTCTCTCCCTCACTTACCCTCTGCTTTCAGTCCAGACCAGAGTTAGATAATTTTACTTTGCTAACGATTGTGCCTCTTGCATTTGCTCATCCCAGGATGCTGTTATAATCGATCAGGGCCAGCTATTTAATAAAAGAAATTTGAAAGCAGTTTTTTATTTCCCCGCTCCTTGAATTGCTGGTGCCAGCTGAGTATGTAGGATGGATCTGCCAAAGGGCCTTGGGGGTCTTGTCACCCTTGAGTGGGACGAGACCTTTAGAGAAACGGAGCAAAAGGAAAGAGAATAAAGCCTGAATAAAATGTCCCGGTCTCGGGAAGAAAGATTCTCTACCAATAAAGTCATCGTGCATGTTTAAAGGGAGCGAGGAAGAAGGAAAATGAACACAAGATATGCAAAATCAGTAACGTTCAACCTGTCAGTGGATTGCAGAATAGTTACTTACACCAGGTACACTTTGTTCATTGTACAAATTAAAAAAGGAAAAAAAAAATAGTACCCCTTTCCCCAACCACACGTAGAAAAGCACTTAAAAGTTCAAAGGTAAAGCTTGGCACATTCCAAATACGAAATGATTCACTTGACATGCAGCAAAATATACAAGAAGTGATTCTTTTTTTCTCTTTTTTTTTAAACAAACTTAATTCAATTCATTATCTTTGCTTGGCACAATTGCAATTCATTTTAAAAAAATATTTGAAAAATACTGAAACTGACCTGAATTCAAGTATAACGGTTTCTTCAACAGAAACATTATCAATGCAATAAAACATCACACGGAATATATCGAAGCGTAACGCCTTCTGGTTTTTTGTTTCCCCCCACCCCCGCAATTTTTTTCTATACAGTTTTAATGCCAACACAACTTACAATTGTATTTTAAAATTAATATTATTGCATTGTTTTTGCATATCTTGTGGAACAGAAAATGCAAAGAGTTACTGATTCCCCTTTCCAAAGCAGAGACAGTGGTTTGTTTTTGCATTCAAATGGCCCCAGATACAGATCTCCTGCAGCTCAAACCGGGATGTGGAGAACTGCATGCACTTACACACACATGCGTGCGCACGCACACTCGCTCCGTATTGCTCCCACACTCACAGATACACTTAGCACTAAAAAGAACCCAAATCAATCACTCAAATGTGCAAGACTATATCAAGTGCATTGCCTACTATCTTTAAATTATAAAACAACAACAAAAAAAGGAGGTTTCAATTACTAGCAAATAAAATTACAAATTCTCGGTGTACATAATGGTTGGTAAAACTCGTCTATCGTTATACTTCTACCAAATTTCAATGGAGGAAAAAAAAAACGGTTTAAATAATACAACATGATCAAACCAATTTAACATTTGCAAAGGTGAAAATAAACCAAAACAAAAAGGTAGGTGATTACAAAATGCTGTAAACACTCCCTTCTCCCTCCAAAAAATAATAATAAAATAGTCAAAATAAAAACTGCAACATGCTTTCAAGAAAATACCAAACTGCAAAACGAGGAGAGATCTACACAAGCCCACCACCACCTCAGCGATGCGGGGCAGGCGGCTCCGCCCCGCCGCAGAGCCTGCTCCCCGCTCTCCCATTGGCTGGCACGGCTGGCTGTCTGAGCTCTGATTGGTCGGCAGGAGGCTGCCGGAGCTCGGATTGACTGGCAAGTGACTGCTCGAGCTCTGATTGGTTGGCAGGAGTGGCTGCCCGCGCTCGGATTGGTTGGCAGAGAGCGCTGCCTGGGAGTCTGGGCAGGGCTGGGCAGCCTCGCCGCCTGCCCCCCGGGCGCCCTCGGGCTTCTTCTGCTTCCTCCTCCCCTTCGCGGTACGGGAATCCACAGCAGAAGAAGTCCTCCTCCCCTTCCGAATCAAAGGGCCTTGGCTTCATGGAGACGGTGAGGCTCATACAGAATATGTGCAAAATGATTTTTACAAGCAAAGTTGAAAGACACCCGTTTGACGCAGGGTCCTTTTGGCTAGGGCCACCCACAGGAAGCTGAGGCTCCCCTTCGCGCTCGGGAGGCAGTCCTCGTTCCTTGTGCAGGGACTGAAAAAAAGAGGGAGCTGGCTCTCCTCCGCTTCCTCCTCCTCCTCCTCACTCTTTCTTCATGGACACGTGCTCGGGTTATATCCGCTCCTGAAAAGCTTTCTTACACCACCCAACTCTGCGACTCGTCCCAACAGAAATGAATGAAGAACGCTGTTCCGGTTACTCCAGGTCACGAGAACAGTGAGGCACTTCTGAAACAAACCCATTAGGAACATTGAAACAAATAAAAAACCAGCATCGCTTCCAGCCCTGGCAACTACAGGCTGCTGATATAAATCCTGCTGTCCTTGAGCTCCTCCTGACTTTTTCTACAATCCGGGTTCTGCACCTCTTCCTCTTCCTCTCCTGCACTGTCCTGCCCTGGGTCCCTGCAGTTAACAAAAGGCAAGAGGTTGCCATTGGGGCTCTGCTTGCTGTTACCGTTGAGAATGTTGTCTGCTGCATTTTCCATCTCTTCTATCGTCATGTCACAGGCATCTGCGAGCTCCTGGGTTGTGACCTCAATGAACTTTGGATCTTGAGCAAACTGCATCAGTCCTTCCGAAATCAAGACCTTCAAAAGCAGGTGAAGAACCAGAGACAAAGACATACATTAGTACTCTGCATCACCAACCCTATTGCATCCCATCACAACCCTCTTTACCGCTCTATTTTCCCCAGCGGTCCTTCTCCCATTCATGCTGCTAACCCCTGCTGGGAGATGGGCTCCCCTGCTCCTCGGCATTGTGAGCAGGAATATATCTGTTGCCCTGCTCTTC